AGAAGAAAAGAAAAAAAACAAAACTACTAAATATTCTAACCGATTTTAGAATTGTTTTAGGAATGAAAAACCATCATTTATTTTTGTGTACAGTTGTAAAAAAATATTGAATCCGTAATTTTTTATAATTTTCTCTAATAACAATCTGAACATCATTAAAAAGAACTGTAAATAACTGAACTTCAAACCAATTGAAATGGACGTAGACTGTCGGTAGTACCTCATGGTCATAAAAATTATCAGGAATAACAGTGGGTAGTAACCATCTTGAATATGTAACAAGGGCAAGTAATGAAGATTACAGCTAATTCCAGAAGACATAGCATATACCTCGCTTGATATGATGAACACGATGACGCAATAACGTGATGTTAATTAAATCAACTAAGCTTTTCAATCTTCTATGTTAAATTGTATGATTTGATTTTTTTAAATAAAACACAGCAGCCGTCACCCCGTCACAACGTCTGTTGCAAAGCATTTCAAACGTAGGGCCGAAGTTAAAAATCATTGTTAAATAAGTTTAACTAATATGTCGCGTTTTAAACCGTTAAAATGTTTTATTTAAATGTGTATTACTCGCGTAAACTATCGACAGTATTTTTTTTTAGCGTAGGGTTCAATTGATCGTAAGTGATATACCCCAGCCTATAGCATCTAAACAAGATGTGTTGTCGACCTTTTGCTGCTTTGGATACTCGGAAATTCATAGAAGGCTTTTTATTTGTGGACGGTATTTCGTGACCCAAGCGGAATATTTGATATTCCTACCACACATTAAATATACAGATTTCCGATGTTTCAGAAATTATTATTGAAAAATTAAGAACATGTGGGACCTAGTGGGGTTCGAACCCAAGACCCGTTGATTACTAGCCATATATTGCTACCATTACGTATGCACGTCAAGTTCTTCAGAATAATCCTATCCAACAAATGCTGTTACTCTTTCAAGTCAAAACGACTTTTTAGGTGTACCATAAAAATGTAATTAGTATTTTTATCTCTACATGGAACAAGCGTGAGAAACATGTATCATTATTGCGAAGGAATTGGTTCAAAAAGCTATCTATCTCCAAGAAGTTCAATTTAGAATCGAGAACAGAAGACCGTGTGAAAGTTTACTCGAACTGGCATTATCGTTATAACAAAGACAATGTTATTATAATATAATGAACACAAATCGCTGTGAAGAAATGTGAAAAATTCCCGAAGTATGTAGGTCCATGTTCAGCTCTACTTAAAATTGTAATAATGTGTGAATAGAATTCACGCGGACGCTAACTGGATCTTAAGCTATTTTATAAATACTATTTTTATACGAAACGGTCGTGGATTCGATTCCGGTCCGTTTAAGCTTTATTTCAACCTATAATATATTTTCAACAATATTCAAATTTACCACGCCGATCATTATTATAGTCATATTACGCTTATATCTTATTGATCTATCAATTTATTAATTAGTAATGTCATGTCAGAATTACTTTTTTAATTTTTGTTTAATATCGATGAAGTTTGCTTTAGAATAATATTATTTTGTCTATAGTAGGGTACGTAATCAAAGAAAAAAATAATGATATAGTCCAGGTTGAAAAGAAGGATTTAAATTTTTTACGATGGAGGAGGACAAGCAAGCGTGGGATTCAGGTGATGGTAGGTGATATACCCCAGCTACTTAACATCGAAACAAGATACGCGGTCGACCTATTTTGGCTTTGTATATTCGAAAATTGACTGGACGGATTGTTGTTCGTTTTAACCTATCTAATATCCGGATATCCAAATGAAATTCAACATGTTTCAGAAAAATTATAGATTAGCACGTTTTACCCGGTGGGGATCAAATCCACGACCCGTTGATTGTTAGCCCTACTTTGCTACTATTACACCAACGTACGGCCGTTACGTTTTCAACGCAATAAGTAAAGATACCTACTTCGAAGAAATCCTATTTGTTTTTATTCAAATCAAGTTGAAAGCCGGTGAAAACCAACTGGTTACAATAATGTGCTTGTCATGATAAGTTTGTACAATGAGTGTTCACTCAGTACGAAGAGAAATCGTGAAAATGTCTCTTCAGATAAGATAAACACTAGATTTAAAAGTCGCACCTAGTTACTAAATGCTAAACTAAAGCATCAACAGGACGTGATTTTAACTTGACGTCGTCAAGTTTCTACACAAAACCGAAAGTAGGTAGTATATATGACTGTCGTCATTGATCCATGACCATGAAGAAATTATATTTAATTTGAATACAGAAGGGATAATACAACTGCGAATATTTTTACTCCTTAAAAAATATCTTCCAACGATTGTCTTCCACTTACTAACCTGTCGAAGGAAGTAGCTTATTTGTAATTCTTATATATACCCTCTGACCTAATCTTCAATTAGTTAATTCGTCAAGGTAACCTTGACCGCAGATAGCTTTTGTTCGGCTTCCAGTAACAGTTCATTTGCTAAAACTCGTTTTTCTAAAGGGATTTTATTATTTTTTCATGTTTAATGTTACGTAAAGCGTTATTTGAAAGTTGTCTGTGGAAAAAAATGTTTTGTGCAGATATTTAAAAAGCTATTTCCATTTAATACCAACCAGTAAGTATTTTTATTGTTTTATTCATGTAAGTATATACGTATAATATGGCCAAGTTTTTCAATGAAATAAGTAGAGCTGCATTTATTATAAAGTATAATGTTTTTACAAATAACTACCTACTTTTAAACTTGTTTTACTCGTTTTGACGCTTGTGTAATACGATTTTTAAATTGATTTTTTTTTGGGTTTTAAGTTACAATTAGATGTGTAATGTGGCGTTATTGTAAATTGGATAATATTGCATACGATGATCATCTTGAGCGGTGGTTACAACGACCCTGATCCACACACAACAAATAATACGATATTCAAGTTTTTTAAACTTAAGATATTACAGATTTTTTATACATAAGTGAATTTGTTTAAGTTAAATTAACACAATATAATAAGCTATTTTTTTTAGGTTTTTACCGATAAAGAGCCTGTGTACTTATTTTTTTAATACTTACATTTAATTTGGTTTAATTTGTACGTAAGACTTATAAGTGTTTTTATCATAAATTTTTGTCTGAATCCAAAGCGTGTATGACACTCCGAATCTCATAAACCAATATAGATAAACGATAAACTGTAAATGTATTTTCTTCAATCAAAATATTGTTAATCTTTTAGCAATTCAACCGCAAACCCCCTTTTATTGTCCATTTTATTATTGAGATATTTTACTCGACATTATTGGCTAAAGCATTACCGAAAAAAAAAATCCATTTATTTACGCATATTTATCCATTTATATACTTAATCAAAGCGGACAATGGACAAAAATTGTAATGCTTGGAACTAAATTCACATCGATGAGGTCAACTGTGGTGTAATGACCGCTGCTTGGTTGATTTTTTGTTATGAAGATGTATTTTGATATTTATAGAGAGCAGTGAGTAACCAACTAAACGTGAGCAATCCGTACTTAGCGGTGTTGCTATTTTTTTCTACTTGGATACTCGTTATGTCAGTTTTTGTTGCCACTGCAAACGAGTTGGAAAAATGACGCCATTTTATTTAATTAGATGAACGTTTTCTCTTTAAAGAAACTTTTTCTAAACACCAATTAAATGACGATAATTTCATTTATTTATCCTACAATGTTAGTTAAAATAACAGACCAAAAGTAGATTTGTGATTATATTAACATATTTAAGTATCGTCTTTCAATCATAAGGCGTACATACATTATTAGGATATTAAAATAAGTATCTTTGAATGAATTGAAGAATCCGAAATATATTGTTATTATTAAACTACGAGCCAAAGTTACGGATGCTTTTTGGCAGCAGTGTTCACAGGGGGACGTAGTATTGACACATATTAGCTACACTTTAATGGATGGTTATTATCAGTTGGTTATGATCGTTTACGTTTTGTAGATACAATTTTAACAATTGTCTTACAAATGTATGCGGGCCGCGCTTAGTATTCTAATAAATAGTGAAGGCCAGTACAAGTGTAGTTAAACTTTAAAATTCTTTATGGGAACTTCATCGAGAAGATCGTTTGACGTGATTCAAACCTACTTCTTACTCTCAGTGCCGAATTCATAAAAAATACAAAATGTTTGTTCAAAAACATTCAATACAATTTATTAAAAAGGTAATATTATTATTAACCTACTTTTATCTAATACTTGTTGTGATGTGATGAATCAATGTACCTAATGTAAATATTATATATACCCATTATTATTCTTATATAATAACACTTGTGTATTGTCAGTGTTTATTTATTTACGAGTATTTATCGTTTGATAAAATATTTAAAGACAATTTACTTTTCTAACTTCTAGAATAATTTCTTAGATCACGTAGTATCGAAAAACTCATTTAATAGGTACAAAACCATTTAATGTCGGTATCAAATGTATGAAGTAATTTTTAGATGTAAACAAATCATCTAGTGTATAATCTTCGATAGTCTAAATTATATTATTCACGATCAGGATTTCAATATGGCCGCATCCTTTTAATATTTTGCAGAACTGTTTACCTACTTATTGAAATATTTTTTTTATTTTCACATTGTGCATATTTTTAATATCACGCATTGTTAAATAGATTTATGGACACAATGCTTTTACCATTTCCTAAGAAACCTTTCCTTCATAGAAGCCGTCGTATGGCACTAATGATATCCTAGTTGAGACGTAGCTACACTACTGTACCTACCCTCATCCTATATTCGCATTAGTTAAAAAAAATACAGCTATATTTTAATTTTTACGCAGGTAATATTATCATCTCTGAATTATCTTTCATTAAACTCAATATTTCAATATTTTTAAAGTTCAAAACATTTTATTACGTTTTAATGGGTTCCCCTGCTGCAGCTACCGCGTCCTTGGCCATGCTTTTAAAACTCGTTTGGAGCTCTGCAATTGCCAAAATATAAGAAAAATTAAACCTACCTTCGACATATCGCTCCGTTAGATACTTTCCGAAGTCACAAACTCTCCATCCATCACTCTAACATTATGAAACCCTCATTGGGCTGCCTTGAGAAATTAAACAAACGAACAGTGATTGACCGCGCAATGTCCATATCACATTTCCAAGACGCCGTTCCACGGCAGAAGTCCGATCAATACTGCGTTATGTCGTTGCTGGCGGATAAGGTAAAAAACCATTCTATGTATGACGCCTGCGCGCGCAAACTCTTGATAATGCTCTGTTCAGACTACGCACAATATCATAGCATACATATTAGAGTTTTTAGCACAATTACATCGCGTACAACACTTTGAACTCGCTCCTAACTATTTTTTGTAGCTTACTATCGGCGTGCTTCTATACTTTATGCTAGTATATAACAGTATAGTCTGAAAAGGGACTAACTGACGGTTGCATAGATGTGTGTGTCGGAAAACAAGACCGGCGAATTGGTCCCCGACTACATACTAACTAACCAAGCGAACCGTGACCAGACGAGGCCATTGTGAGCTAATCGTAACCCATTAACATCGTAATGTGCTGAAACGTCGAAATATTTACAGATATGAAATGATATCTTTACGTAAACTATATATTGACTGATAATAGAGACGATCATAGCTAAGAATCGAAGAAATTAACCTGTGTCAACAACGCTAATGACATTCTTTTGTTAACGACAAATAGGTACGGTATAAACTATCAACTACTACAACAACTAAATTCATACTTTATTGTAATCAAGCAAATTTGCATCAGTCTGTATAGTTTAAAAAAATATGAACACGAGTAGTATTCAAACCTATGACCGAGCGAGATTTATCTTGAATCAGGATGTGTGCAAAATAATATGATAAACTATATAACGTTTATTTAATCGTTTGTTGGTAACTAAAATATGGTTAAAAAGACACAAGTAGTGGATGTATTTTTTTTGCAGGATATTAGGAAAAGACAACTGTAGGAACGGAAGGGATCCTTTTAAGGAACTACCTTCCCAACACTTATTATACATTTAAGATTGTGTATCATGAATTTAGAAGATTTAGGATACTCATATTTTAATTTATTAAAATAAAGAGTTTACTTTAAGTATATAAAAAAGGACAATTATATAAGGGTTTTTAATTCACAGATTAAAAACTATTTTATTTGCTTAGATTCTCTTGTGATAGACTTATGTCAGCTGTCAAAATATGTTTTTGTGGTGTTTCGGTGTATTTGTTTACCTTTGTTTCATGTTTGGTTCCTAGTGGTTTGATGATTAATTTCTAATGCCTACTCATATTTTTTAACGCCCGTGATTATATGTAGTTTGTGTAAAAGATCTAAACAGCAGAATACTTCAAGTATTCTGTCGCATTTATGTTAAACGTGGACATATTGATTGTGTTTAAATTATATTATAATTAAAATTTTGATTGAGATATTGAAATGCTACAATATTATTAACAAGCATTTTATTATTGTTTATAATTAACAATGAATCAAGATGTTTTGCCCCATGCACCCAGTAGAGGCAATAAAAAGTGGGACAGGGACACTGTACTTCCGTTTATTTTATTACCACTTCTATTCATTATTGGTACTGTATCCCTTACGGTGACAATAATTGTTATGCTTTTCATTGGAATGGGGACATTGTATGTACTGTCCCGTCCAAGACAGAAAAACAGGTGTGTTTGATAAACTTCTTTACAAAACTACTATGTATTATAATAATATTAACTAACGTTATAAATAAAAACAATATACTTGTATTTACAGATCGCCATTCTTCTATTCATGGACATTATCGTCAGGAATATGCATGTTTCTTGTATATGAACTTGGTGTATTATCAATGTTACAGATCACTCAATTAGAGAACTTTATATTTTTAGTACTATTAGCTGGAATGTGTTATTGTTTTTATAAGATGAAAGCGATAGCCGAATTTGAGTTATATCTAGGCTCCAAAGGCAAGGAATACAGGTATATATTATTACAAATATAACAGTGACATTCTTACAATAATAAGCAATGTTTGGCCATATTTTCAGTCCAGTATTAACATCAGATTCATATTACTGCCAAGTGTGTCAATTAGAAGTAAATGAAAGGTTTTTTCACTCAATTTGGTGAGTTTCATACTGACACTATTTTTTAAATTAAAAACACAGTTGTTTACTTTATTTTTGAATTTTACAGGTGGGATTGTTGTGTTTTTAGACCTAATTACTTATATTTCCTGTGTGGGCAGATCTTTGCTCTGGCAACATTGTTTCTTGGTGCTAATTTGGGTCTAACTACAGTATGCCATCCAGCAATGTTGTACGGATCTATATTGATACCCCAGGATTGTAATGGGGTATATTTTGAATTCAAGTAAGAATATATTATGTTTATATATACTATGTAATATTAAAAGTGTACCTCTTCTATTCAAAATTTATTTAAAAGATCATCTTTGTGCGAGTCTAAAAAAACGCAAAATGTATGTCACTTCAACCTGTTAATTTACTGGCCATAGATGTCCTCTTCATAGGAGAGGGTTAGGAGCCACAACGTATACAGTATAACTTATCAAATAGTCACTAACAAATTCAAATCTTTTTCAGCTATGCGTTATGCTTTGTTGCTTGCGTCTACGCAATTGGATACTTATTAGTAATTGTACTGGTTTTATTACGGCAGTTATTTGTATACCTTCCGAAATATATCGGTAAGTTTGTAACACAGTCTTAACTATGTTTATTTGAATTACAAAAAGTATTCTTAAATTGTATTTTTTTTATTTCAGAGCCGAAGTGGAAAAGACTGATTAATGTTTGAAGTGATATATATTTTTATAAATATGATTAGTACGAAAGTATTCTATATATTCAGAACGCTTATCTAGTTATATAAAAATAGCAACTGTGAAATTAACGGCATTATATGTGTAAAGTATTCTAATTTTTTGGCAATGTTATTTTATGTTTCAATTTTTAATCAAATGGCATATGAATTGCTTAAATTTAACTTTATTTAGCTTAGCTTAAAAAAATTTTTAAAAATTGGGGTTTTGGGGGGGCCGGGGGGGGGGGGGGGGGGGGGGGGGGGGGGGGGGGGCCCCCCCCCCCGGGGTAAAAAAAAAAAAAAAAAAATTATTTTTTTTTTTTTTTTTTTTTTTTTTTTTTTATTTTTTTTTTTTTTAAAAAAAAAAAGGGGTTTTAAAAAAAAATTTTTTTTTTTAAAGATGTTTTTTTTTGGGGGGGGGGGGGGGGGGGGGGGGGGGGGGGGGGGGGGGGGGGGGGGGGGGGGGGGGGTTTTTTTTTTTTTTTTTTTTTTTTTTCCCCCCCCCCCCCCCGGGGGTTTTTTTTTTTTGGGGGGGGGGGGGGGGGGGGGGGTTTTTTTTTTTTTTTTTTTTTTTTTTTTTTTTTTTTTTTTTTTATATTTTTTTTTTTTTTTTTTTAAACCCCCCACAAAAAAAAAAAAAGGGGGGGGGGGGGGGGGGGGGGGGGGGGGGGGGGGGGGGGGGCCCCGGGGGGGGGGGGGGGGGGGGGGGGGGGGGGGGGGGGGGGGGGGCGGGGGGGGGGGGGGTTTTTTTTTTTTTTTTTTTTTGGGGGGGGGGGGGGGGGGGGGGGCCAACACCCCCCCCTGTGGGGGGGGGGGGGGGGGGGGGGGGGGGGGGGGGGGGGGGGGGGGGGGGGGGGGGGGGGGCGCCCTTTTTTTTTTTTTTTTTTTTTTTTAATACTATTTATTATAGACAGCAATTTAGACTGCATATTATTTTTAATACATTTGTAATCGAACACTTACTAAAACTAATATAGTCAACTTATAATAAGTTATTAAAAAAATTGGTAGAATAATATCAGTCCTCGGGAGGTTTATAATCTGGAACCACTTGCAATACTTTTTGTCTCCATTTTAGCTTTCGCGTCTCTTGCTCACGTTTCAGGGCATTTATAGCAGGCAAGGTCCGCCAACAGGTAAAGACTTTAAATAAAAGGTTACTGAAAGATATTTTTTTATTTATTTTTTGCATTTCACCATAGATTCCTTATATACGTTTCTATATAAATAAGCTGCAGCGTGTCTATAAATTAAGCTATCCTAGACTAGCCGTTAAAAAATTTTAACATTAATAAAAAAGTGTTTGTACATACCAATTATGATACTTTACAGCTTTTCTCCATTTTATTTCACTTTCGTGCTTAGCAACTATAACGGCTTCTCGAAATTTCCTAAAAACTAACTGAGTGACGTAAAGATCATAATAATCTTCGGCAACTTGGTTCTTCAGAACGTAGTTATAATGATTCTGCAATATTAATATTGAAAGTATTTATGTAGCTACTACTTTTAAAATTAAAAGAGGAATGAAAAAAGCAACCGATTTATACCTTTTTCAGAGCATTGAATGTTTTGCTTAGAATCCTTTTTCTGTAATGTTCCACCGCAATATAATTCCTTTCAAACCACATATCCTCAGTGTAAAACATCCATTGTAAAAAAATATTTTTCTTTACCTGAAATGTATAGTGAGCTTTTGCTTTCTCAACGCTTTCGTGCTTTATTCGAATTAAACGTTGAAACGGCCGTATGCCATACTTGGTTATTAAGGTTTTCTCATAATGGAAGTCTGCCATTACAATCAACGCTCTCATTCGCTCCGCATGTTGCTTTTTCCTTATGTTTTCAATTTTTTCTTGCTTTCTTTTTTCTTTTAATTCCTTGATTCTCTTTGTTTTTTCTTCTTTATCCATTTCTGCTCTTTGCAATTCTACCTACAGGTGTTGTCACGTTATCAAAAAATATTACATTTTTGCGACTACAAACAATTTGGTTACCTGTTGTTTAATTCTTAGTCTTTCCTCTTCAATTTGCTTCCTTCTTTCTCTAATAATAGCATGCTTTTCTTCTCTCTCTCGTGCTCTAGCTTCCATTCTTTGTAGAAACTGTGGTACTTTCAAGCATTGTAATATTAACGCGGGCTCTACAAGAATTTGATATAAAATAAATCAGTGTGAAAATGTATTAATATTTTTGTTGTATACTATTTTTGATACTTTTTACCTTCAATTTCCTTAATATTAAGTTCATTTGTTAAACACTTAATTTTAGGTTTTAAATGTTTATCGAGTTCGTAATAAGACTTCCGCACTTCTTCTTTCATACAATCTACAGAGTGACGCGAAGCTTCAATGATTTTATTATATTTAAGTTCTTCTATTACTTTGTTTTGCTGTTCAAGCTTAGCCTTTTGAAGTGCTATTATATGTTTTTGTACCCTATACCTGGAAAATAAAGTCTTCAAAGTATTAATTATAAACGTAGTATGACAATTAGAAACCAAACCGGTTTTTTAGTCACCTATGATGATAACTATTATAATCTCGAACATTCATTTTTGCTTTCTGTATGGGCTCTGCTGTAGACTTCACACTGTCTTTTGCTTTGGCTAGCCTGTCTATAAACTTGTTCACTGTTGCCTTTCTGTCGAATTTGGAGTTCTTTTCGTTCTTCCGTATGATGTATTGTCTCCATTTTTGAACATATTTCCGTTCAATATAACGTGCACGTAGTTCAAATTTTACGTTTTTAATAGAAGAAACGTTAATATAATCCGATATTTCAGTTTTATCTATATTTGTAACTGTTACTTTTCCAGATTCGTCCCTTAAATTCGGATAGGATTCTAACTCTTTACAACTAATATCATCTTCAGAGATTTCCTTTTCATTATCATAGGAAGAGTTAATTGTCATCATTATTAAAAGCGATTGTAAATCATTGCTCTTACAGCTAAATTCGTGTTCAATTTTGCTAATAATATTTTGTTGGCTTTCGTCGTTGTCTTGTCTGTTTAGTTCCTTTTTTTGTGAGTCTTGTCTATCAGCAACCTTTGGCTTCATTGACGTCTTAAATTCGTATTTATCTTGTTTTAATTTTGGTATAAGTTTAAAGTCCACCTCGTTTTCAACTTTTAAATCGTACATTTCTTGAGACTTCTCTAAAAATGTGTTCATTTCTTGTTGTAACATCTTGTATTGACTATCCGCGGTATCTCTAGATCTATAGACTTCAGTGGGTATAGTACTGCTTATATTTTTGAAGAGACTCTTTTGTTTCTTTATAATTAAATTATTCTTAGCGCGTTTCTTTCGGAAGATGGTATGCATTTTTGCTAATTCCCTATTGACAGTATATGCATTATTAAAAACTTTCCTCTTTAAAAGTCTGTAAAATCAATATCGTTAGATACTTAGTCTCTCTAGTACTCTTTAGAATTGCAAGTCCGACGACTTTCTACGTTAAGCTTCTTTTTGAATAGAAGATACAATCAGCATAATGTTACCTTATCATAAGAAATCAGTTTTAAATATATCTAAATAGTTAGTGGATATGTACGCACGTTTTTGGTCCATTCGCTATTGTCGACGTGTGTTTATGAGTATCTTTTGCCTACAAAAAATAAATATACCTTTAAATTAAGTCTTTTACATACTATTACTAAAAATTACAGGCTTGGTGATAACCACTTACCATATTTCGCCTTAACTGTAAACGCAAATATATATCCGCTGATTTGTAATCCGGACCGTGTTTTATTAATTCCGCATCATGAAAGATATCTTTATTTAACAGTTCCTCCATTTTTTTAGAAATTTGACTTCGTGAAAGTCATTATGCTTGTGAATTGTGTTGCATTCAAAAAGCAGCATGTTGCGTGGTAACAATTAAATCGATAAAACATATGAACAGCGATACATAATATTATTGATTTTAGGGCTTTATTACGTCTTAAAAGCTTGGTAAACGATTACGCAACTAAAATTATTGCATTCATGATAGGATTAGAGAACCCTAAAACTACCCTCGTATCAAAAAGAGCAATATATGAGACTATGATTGTATTTAGTCTTGTTTTATACAATGGAAAGTATAAATTACTGTTTTTTACTATTTTATTTCTTTATCAAGGATGCCCAAGAAAGAATTGCCTAAGAATTAATTTCAGTTTGCGAGGGCAGGGATATAAACCGTGTACCGAGTTTTGTAAGTTGGTAGGTACATAACGTTGATTAGAGAATACAATGTATCGCATAATATGATACGGTAAAATACTGTCTATAGTTTACGCGAGTAGTACACATTTAAATAAAATACTTTAACGGTTAAAAACGCGATATATTAGTTAAACTTATTTGAAAATTATTTTTAACTTCGGCGCCACGTTTCTGCTGCTGCAAAGCATCATTTAATTTTATTAAAATGATACGGTAAATTACCCAGACTATTTACCCTTCTATGAACCTAAGAACGCCATCATACATAATACGTATTCAATTTGTGGTATTTTATTTATTACAACATGTTGACTTATGTGTCAGTGTCATAAATAAAGTCAATCAACTGTCAATGTTTTCAGGGATGCAAGTTGACAAAATGTTTCCTTAATAAAAATATTAGGAGAAAATACAGCAATTAGGGTTTATAATAATAATTAAAGAAATAAAGATAGGGCGATAAAATTATTTACAATATACAAACGTTTGTAACTTTTTACTAAAACTTAATCGAAAAAAAAATGTTAACCCTATAAGCATTATACAGATATTTAATAACGGCAAATATAGGATATTTGTCTAGCAACACCGATCTAGTTTCGTAACAGCTGCATTGCTGACATTCTTAGGCATACATCCATAATATTTGTGTTTTTATTTTTTAGTATCAAACTGTATTTGTTCGATACCTTATGTGCTTCATCAGTCCATGCCGATGTATCTACCTCTTAACAATGCATCCGATAGAAAGTACCTTGTTAAAATACCGATAACCAAGTTAGGATTATGCGCAGTGTTTCTCCCTTTATTTGCATTTGTTCTATGTGTGATAATGACTATGTTTAAAGACTTCGAAAGGGCTAACAATACCCACTGTAAAGTTCCTAATGTCTTCCCATCGATATCGGCATCTATTGGAAATTATGAACCACAACTGACTATTTGGAGAGCGGCTATATTTACACATGCTCCATTAAGGTTTACCTTAATTTATTTAAGATGGATATATTATAGAAGCATAATTAGTAAAGATTTTATTGTTATAGTAAAACTAGCAGTATTTTTAAATATCATTGAAAATCTAGCATTATTAGGCCTGACACATTGGACGTCATCACTAAATTATCGTAAGTGAACTCTTAGTGACATATTTTACGCTGTATCAAAGAATAGAATCACGAGTATACTTTATGTTAACATCAATACAATACTTCCAGCATACCATGAAGCCTGCTTTAAAACGTTTATTGGGACTTCCATTTTCTATATGTTCTTCACAAGTCTGATGTTGACGAAGTATAGGAGGCGGCCTACTGTCTCTGATTTGGAGACTTATTCTGTAAAATTAAAATGGCGAGCCTTCTTTGTTAATGTAGGCTCATTTGCATTTGCAGCTTATTTCTTTCTCCGTCACAATAGGCTATGTGAACCATATGGTAAGGCTTGAAAAAATTTATAACATAATACATATTTCTTATATTTGAGTTGTGACAAATTTTATTTTCTTTTTCAGTATATTCAATGTTTGCATTTTCTGAGTATGTCGTAGTCATAAGCAATATACTATTTCATATGACTACTATATATGATCTCAAAACACAATATATTTATTTTACAAGAAAGGGTATAGTCATTGAATGACTCAGGATCATTGACAACATATTTTTAGTTCACGAGGAAGTTAAGGTTTACCTAAACCGAAGTATTACAAGAGTGATGTAATATTTATTAAAAAAGTAACAAAGTGAGCTAAGATCGTATTTTAAACACAGAAAAGTTATAGACATGACAATATGTATAAGAAAATAAATTTGTAAATAAAAATTTGACTGCTTCTAGACTGAAAAAATAAACTAAACATACATCATGTTGTGTGTTGATATGATTTTGCATTATAGAGCCTTAAAATCCAGCCAAAAGAAGACTAGATAAATAACTGGATGACCACTCGATAGTATTCATGCCATCAGCTTTACTTGGGCATCAACAGTTTCCATCATTCCTTATATAATAAGTAACATTAATAAATAGTAACATTAATAATTTAAAAGTCTGTTTTATTTAAAACACTATAAACATTCTTTAATTTTAACATAAATAATAACAAATATGTACTTAATCTTGCAACTATCTTTTTGTTTACTCTTTAAAAAATCCATATAAAAATAAAGGGTTAATCATAATATTACATTCTTTATGTATATGGGTATCACAATATATTTATTAAAGCGAAAGTTTAGTGGAGAATTAGAAATTTCATATTAAACAAAGTGTTATGCACCATATAATTTTTTTTGTTAGTATTAAAATCTGAACTCATCTTTCATTTTGTCCGCTATCATTTTTGCAATAGCCAGGGATGAAGTAGCCCCTGGAGATGGTGCATTCCTGCAGTGGAGTACTCTACTGCCTATGGCTCCTGAACCAGGCTTTGAATCAAATACAAAGTCCTCTATTAGGGTACCTGTAAAACAGAAAAAAATATTTAATTTCCAATAAACACTGCTTTCTACAGTATATTAAAAATAAATGTCCTATCACCCACCATCTTTCCCCATAGCTTGTGCTCTTACTCCAGCAGGCCCCCTCTCTACATCATTACTTGTTATATTTTGAATATATTTTTGTATCTGCTTAACTTGAAGAGGTATAAATATAGATCGACTCATCTCTTTCAATCCAAATCCAGCATATTTCAAAGCCATTTTTTGGAAGCCAGAAAACGCCAATATTTCCCTTAGCTCTTTTACACTGACATTACCCCACCTAAAAGTCAATACAATTAATTATGTATATAATAATTGTTTTATTGAATACTATTTGACAAAACTCACCTATAGCCCTCCTTACTAAATGCTAAAATGGCATTAGGACCAACAATTACTCGGCCATCTATTCTAGGTGTGAGATGTACTCCAAGAAATGGGAATCTTGGATCAGGTACAGGATAAATGTTTGCTTTGGCAAGGGTACTTTTCTGGGGTGAAAGATATAGGTATTCCCCTCTAAAAGGGATGATTTTTGGTTCTTCAGGACAACCTGTCAGTACTGCCACTGTGTCTGAATGTAAACCACAGCAAGTGAGGACATATTTTGCCTGGATAGTGTTTTCCTTCTTGTCACTTATTACAACAGGGTATTCCGAATTGTCACCCTCAATAAAACTTGTTACATCAAACGTCAAATAGCTCTTTCCACCACACTGTTCAAAATCCTTTACATAGGATCGTGTCACTTCACCCCAATCAACAATGCCAGTGTGGGGAGACCATACAGCTTGAATGCCATTAACATTTGGTTCTGCTTCTTTGATTTCTTTTGCATCCAATAATTGAATATCTTTCACGCCATTTTGGAGTCCCCTATCATAAAGGTCAAGAAGACGAGGAACCTCTGCCCTATTTGTAGCCACAATAAGTTTCCCACATTTTGAGTATTTAATTCCTTTTTTATCTAAATACTTATATGAAAGATTGAGGCCTTCAACACAAAGCTTTGCTTTCAAAGAGCCTGGCTTATAATAAATACCTGCATGAATTACTCCACTATTGTTCCCACTTTGATGAAATGCAAAACAGTTTTCTTTTTCCAATAGAGCAATCTTCAAAGTGGGGTGTCTTAAAGCCAATTCCCTTGCTGAGGCTGATCCCACTATGCCTCCCCCAATTACTGCAATATCATAACATAGTGGACTCTTCAAACCATATCTGTAAAGTTACATTTATACACTTAAAAACCTAAAGCAAAATAGGAAGATCGTTGATAATAAACAATAATAATTGTTGTTTACCTCCTTCTGTGATTAAGACATTCCTGTCTAGGCAACAGTTTAGATAAATAACCAACTTTATTAAGAAATGAAGCCATCCTCTACGTAATTCTGACTGGCTAAAATGCAATCATTAAGTAAATAACATTTCCTGTTGCAATGCAATTTACGCACTTATCGAAAATATATAACAAATTACGTGGATTCCTTCTTTCTTTTAACATAATTCTTATCTTGTTATTATTGAATCCATATGAATCACATTTATATGGTGATTATGTAAAATCTCTTATCTTAAATAGGTATTTAATGTTGTAATAAATTATTTATATTGTGCCGTAAATAAATGTCACTTTACGCGACAACCGACAACCGACCATCAGTCAGAGACAAGTGTCAATAAATAAAGTATGATATTATTATTATAATATGTAATCATTTGACCGCCTACTGCCACCTATCAAATTTTTATTTTACTAGAATAAAATTCAACGCCATCTATCGCTTAAGACAACTTCTTTTTATATAATCTATGCAGATATCGCAATAGAAAATAAATACAATTCACAGATAACCTAGATAAAATAACCTGAGACTATCAGTCGTCACTCTAGAACACAATAGTCAATGTGTTGACATTGCTAATGTTTATATTTTGATGTGTTATTCATTCTAACTCAATTTTAGCGGTAAAAACAGTGAGATATCAACAACGCATTAAATAAAAAAGAAGTATCTTTGGCGTTTTCAGTAAACACTAAAATATTTCGAAGCATGTATACTAATCTATCTTGGAGTTCTCATCACGAGAAAATAAGACAAGGATTTACCTCACTGTTAGAGGTAAAATTAAAAATAAATGTACATTATCATGCTACTTGCTTTTAATTTAAGTAAAAATGCTGCTATTTTCTAGAGAAATGCCCGCGAAATATTTTTTTCTCCTTTTCAGAAAGAACTATATGTAGACATGACTTTTTGTGCAGATGGCTATCTGGTAAAGGCCCATAAAAATATTGTAGCACTAGTGAGCCCTTATTTGCGTGAAATGATAAATTCTACTGCTGCTCACCAACATCCCATTATATTTTTAAATGCAAGTATAATTAAAACACTATATAATCATTTTTTAAAAAAAACCCGTTAAGGGTTTAAAAAGCGATTTTTTTTTTTAAATTTTTTTAAAAAGACTTTTTCCCCCCCCCCCCCCCCGCCCCCCCACCCCCCCCCGGGGGGGGGGGGAAAAAAAAAATTTTTTTTTAAAATTATTTTAAAAATTTTTTTTTTTTAAAAAAAAAAATTTTTTTTTTTTTTTTGTTTTTCCCCCCCAATTATTTTTTTTTTTTTTACAATCACATTCTACCGCTTTATTGAAATTTAACAATTTTGTAGGGAATAAGCCATGGTATACTTACTTACATTTTAGAATATATTTACACCGGGGAAAGCCATGTACCAAATGATGTGTTACCTTCTTTTTTAAAAACTGCTGAAGAATTACATTTATGTGGATTAAGCACTAAATCGCCTGATATAAAGGTAATTCCTGTCTTTTTAAGAGTACCTTTAAAAAGTTTACACTTATTAATAATATCAAAATTACACCATTACAGCCAAATGTAAAACAATCATCAGAATGTAGCAACCCTATAACATTAATGGATTTTAGGTAGCCCCCTTTCCGAAAATTAATTGTTAATCAATTAATTAATAAATATAGATCTTGTGAATTTTAGTATATCATGCAAACATTACTTCCTGATAGCCTAAATTCTTTAAAAATAAACTACCTAATTTTGAATTACTGGCCCATGTTGTTTTTTGTATCTTAAAATAATTACAATTAAGGAAATTAAATATTAAATTACCATAGCTGTAACATTATCAATTTGATTCTATAAATTCACATAGGTATTTGTATTTACCAGATTATAATAAATAGATATATATCATGCTATGTAAAAATAAATCCTTTGTTAAAAAAATTTACAGTACTACACAGGCGCCTAATGTAACAGCTGTTGAAGATGAATTATCAAACAATAACACTAAGGAAATTGTTGATGAAATAGAAACAATATCTTGTTTGCCTAATATTTCAAAAAGCGCAGAACAAGTTGAATTTGATACTGACATACATAATGAACAAGAAATAATATGTAACAAAAAGGACAATTCTAATGTTGTAGCAAGTTATTCTTTAAGTGGAGGTACAATGAAATTTACTCAACTATTACAAAACTTGGTTTAAACGATTGTAACAAAGTGAAACTTTGTGGTAACAGTTCCGTTTATATTTACAGAAAACTTCTTTACTCTCATTCCCTTCCAAAACAAAACTATGTCTCTTCCCTGGTATTCCAACCCAAAATTGAGCCGTGTGTTAATAAACATAATCCAAACTATCAAAATAAGGTTTACTTTTAGACTATAAACCACAACAATATTCAGTTTCTTCAAGAGGCAGTCTGCAGTTGATTTTAAATCGTTTCATTTACAATTTACACCACCAGTCTAATGGAGGCCGTAAGAAAAGATGGAGATGTGTGGACTATCGTCGAAATCATTGCCCAGTTTATATTGACACTATTGATGAGAATATTGTAACAAGGTAAATTTTAAATTATTTAGATTTACTTAGACTAAACTATTATATTGGTATTGGTATTCTTATGACCTAATGTTTTATTTTATTTTACAGAAAGAACCCTCATAGCCACCCATTTCATGATGAAAAAATATTAAAAAAGGTAGAAGAAAATAAAGTTTATGGCTCTGTGCCTATTATAGAAAGAGAAAACAATATTAGTAATGAAAATAATATAATTCATTAGTTAATTGATTGCAAGTTTTTTTGCCTTCTTAAAAATAAATCCTTGGTTTAAAGTAAAAAAAAGTAATAAGAAGTAACAAGAAATAATGCATTGCCACTATCATTTCAAGGGAACAAGATGTTTTTACTTTTGAACACCTTTTCTTGTATGAATTAAAAAACAAAGATGTATAATGGTATGTATAAACATACTTATAGGACTTTATAGATTTCTATATTAAATATAATCTAAGGATCAGTTTTATCTTCATTTAAATCAGTTAACTCATCTCCCAGGTCAGTTGTTACATATTCAGTTGTTTCTTCCAGTTCACTAGTTTTCTCTCTTTCTCTTTCACGGTGGGCCTCTAATTCATATAAAGCTGAGTAAACAGCATTGTGTTCAATTTTCTGTAGTATCTTCTTGTCATGAAAACTGTGACAATGTGGATTTCCTCTGCAAAATAAGTTTATTGAAGATCAGCTGAACACATTAAACATTTCTCAGCTAAAATTATAATAAACTAAAAATCTTATTAAATTACCTATTAATAACAACATTGTCTCTGGTTATAACAAAAGCCATGCACTTGAGACTACGGTAGTCTATACATCGCCAACGTTTCACTCCAGAGCTTTGTGTCGACTGTAGATTATACATGAATCTGTTTAGGATTACTTGAAGAGAACCACGGATTGACACCGTGAATTGTAAATTACTTGATTTCACTGAAAAAAAAACGTAATTTAAAACAATAGTACCCTTTTTATTCTGTGCAGCCACAGTATTGGTGATTTATATATTTTATACATACTACAACTCCGACTTATTATAGGCCTATTGGTTAATCACGTTAGAATAGCGTTAGACGTGACGGTTTGAATTCGCCAAAAAGTGAGTTAAACATAACAGGGAAAAGGAGAATTTAACTTTTATATTATTATAAAAAAAAGAGCTCAAAATATATCTAAAAAGTTGGTATACTTAGTACTTACATCCTGTATTGGATGACTTATTTATATCTTGTACAATTTCAGTGTCTTCTTCGTCAGAATTATGTGTATCATATGATACACAATAATCATTTCCACTATCATCTTGTATGACATTTTCTTCTGCTTTCCTAAAATGTTAAATAGTAGTAACAAGATGAAAGCAACAACATTGGTAACAATTTGGTTTTTTGGATATTGATCCACAAAGATAGGTGACACATCATCAGATGGTCATGGCTAACATTAGCCAACTTAGTTCTGTTAGAGTATCTTTGTGTCAGAGCAGCCAGAACTACATGTGAAGTAGGCCCTAGTCAAGAAAATAATAAGGTCAGAGACCCTCTGCAACTTTCCAGGAAGATAAAGAAGCCATCTACAGCCTTACTACATGGGAACATAAACAGATGAGGGAAACAACATCCAAAAACACACTTCTACAAATTTTCAAGCTACACTTTAAATTTATAATCCCAGATGGAGATGTTAATAGTCTGAATTCTGATTATGATCTATGCAAGAAGCATCCCTAACAGAATTAATCACATTGCAAGTAGAAACCTGTTCCTTACCACTTTCTTCAATCAAGCAAAAATTTATTGAAAGAAACACTGATTTTTTATTAAAGAATGCTTGAGATGTTATTAAAATAAAAAAAACACCACAATTTTTAAAAGGGAGAACAGCATTAAGTAAATATCTTCACACACATTGGATACTTATAATATATTGTTAACTTATATACACATTGTTCAGTATAAAAAAGTTAATGGTTTGCATGCATTGATGTTTGGTAATTTATTGTCAAACTGTATCAACTGTTGATGTTCAAATATGAAATATTCATTTTAGATTTGTTACTAGACTATACTTACAATGTAGAAATATTTGAACTGCTTTCTGTTTTAATAGCTATCTTTCTGGCAATATTGGGTAATTTTAAAGTCTGAAAATAAATATTTAGGTAAAATTAATTCAAGAGTTACTTTTAATTAATCTTTAAAAAGAAACTTAAATATTGAATATGCAAATAGTAAATATTATATCAACCTGGTCTGTGATTGCATCTTCATTTTTTCTTTTCCTATTTACAGCTAAATTGTCTCCCGTTGTATGAGTAGAGACAAGACCTGCATCTGTTTTTTCACTTTGCTGTAATAAAAATTTTGAGTATTGTATAAAATATTCAGTTACAAAAAATGCCAATACTATAGCAGTTTAAGTTGTGTACTATCACTACAAAAACATTACTCACCAAACTTTCAAGACCCTTAATTTGGAGGGATTTTGCTGTTTCAATGAATGATGTTAAATTTGTTGGTGGAACCATAACTTCTCCAGTATAAATATATTCTAATAACAAAGTGAGTGTAGATTTGGTCACATTCTGTAAGTTTAACACATCTGAACATAACTGCACAATCATATTACTTATAATATTTAATTATAAAAAAAATTATGAGAACTTACATTAAGATAAACAACTGGGTGTTGGCAAGGGGCAGATGTAATTAATTCCTTTATATAAGGGCTTGATAGAGCCATCAAAACTTGGTGTACTTTAACAAAGTGTCCATCTGCTGCTAAAGTCATATCAACAAATTCCCCATTCTGTGTATATAAAAAATAATAATAAAACTTAGAGAGTCTTATTACTCACTTATTACTATTTTTATCATAAAAAAAATCTACGCTTACTTGTTGCAAAGCACAGAATCCGCCACAAATATTATTTTTGTGAGAATCCCATGTTAATGAAAATTGAGAATGCGCCATTTCTTATGGTCGCAATTCTTTAATATATTTATACGGTCTTTATAATTAATGAAAAGTATTTAACATTATTTAGTATTTACAATCAAATAGCAAGTTATCTTTATAATCACTGGATGTCATAGCTTGATATATACTTTTTAATTCACCAGATTGAGCTCTACTTTGTAGAATGTGAATAGGCTTTTTTGGCAGTTAACAGAGTGCAACTTACGTACGTACAACAACATCCCTTTAATGATCTATGGTGGTACAGATAACTTACAACAGTGACACGGACAGTAACTCATTATAACAATAATGAATAACGTTTGAATGTGTCAATTCCAATTTGTTCATTGTTGATTATTGTAATAATTTGTGTATAAACAATAAGCTATCGAATACTCTTGGTTCTACATTGACGTTAGGTATTATTATATTTCCTGGTTCCAGAACACAACCAAAAATTAAAATCAGTTCAGATTCTTCATAATTAAACGGGGAATATTATTATCCTTGAGATAACAAGCCAGGTGCCCTAAAAATCAATGGTTGTCTTCTTTTTAAATTCTCAGTCTCAATTTTCCTTGTAATTTTCATTGTTCTACATACAAAGCCAATGTTTGCAAAAGCTTATGTCTTTTAAAAACAAGTAAGTATTTAATTTTTAGGTCTAAGGTAAAGGAAAAAGTTAGTCTCAAGCCATTCCTATTTTTTAAATAAAACACTTTACTTTTTGAAAACTTTTTTGAACATCCGAAACGTCGGGCCGTATTTAAAAATCATTTTCAAATAAGTTTAACTAATACAAAGCGTTTTAAACCGTTAAAGTGTTTTTTTTTAAGTCTTATAATTTTAAATACATACATCAAATAATAACAAAATCTGATTATTTGAAAATGATTTTTAACTACGGCCCGACGTTTCGGATGTTCAAAAAAGTTTTCAAAAAGTAAAGTGTTTTATTTAAATGTGTACTACTCGCGCAAACTAGACAGTATTATAAGACTTCCTAATGTTAAGAAGTATGGAAGCAAAACAATACACATCTTTTAGGTACTGTTTTGAAAAATAACTTACTATAAAAATAATTTTTTAAACATTATTTTATTTTAATTGAGTTATACTTACAATGAAATTTACTACATATATGGAGATAATGAAAAAACTTTTTAACATTTAAATAAAACACTATAACAGTTTAAAACAGCCGTAATAATGATATGACAAAAAAATGTTCGACAATATTATAGAATATATCAATATCTACAAAAAATATCGCGAGAGCATATGTCTAACTATTGTAGTTGCGTCGCTATAACAACTTTTTTACATTTAACTAATTAATAGAAATGCCGATCAAAATCAGACCTTGTTATCCATACCATTTATAAATTTTTATCCAAATAAATAATTTAATATGCCTAGAAGAAGAAGGTCGCAGCTTAGTCAGCAGAATAGTTTCCAAGCGAGATTAGCAAAAGTTCGTCGTATTGGAGAGTCTTCTTCCTAAAATGATCGTCTGGAAAGTATTAGAGACATACGTCCCAATCGCGAGCCAGAGATTCTATCGTCGAACGTTCAGGTTCGTCTTGCAGAACAAAATGCAAGATCGTCGCAGCGACTTGAAGGGAATAGAGCTAGAAATTCGCGAACGCGTGCATGGGACACTAACACTGAACGCTCGCAGCGGCTTCTGAACCAGCGAGATAGACCACAGTCATTAACAGAGAGGACGCGCAATACAATTTTTTTCTAATTTAGTGGTCGTCTTAATTGACATTCTTATAATTTAAATATTTGTACTTATTTATGTCTACCCGTGCGAAGCCGGGACAGGGCCGCTAGTGTATATATACCTAAATACAACAAATAATCATTTCTCTTTAATTACTTTCTTTGACAGGGAATCCACATAACCATGCATTCCATGATTTGCTTTCCAAACCATATTTGGTAGCGATTCTTTTCTGTTATACTCTTAAAATTTTACACACAAGTAGGTGGATTTTACGCGACGTACTAATATATGCATGTTTTAGAGTTAAGTTTAAGTGTCACTAATTTCCGTCAAGCCCACATACACAGTCGTTTTACTATTTGAAGCGCGAATTCGGTTTTTAGCTCATTATAAGAAGATAAGACGATACACGTAGTGTTCTAGTGAGTTATAAATTACCATACTTTGATAACGCGCTTATTTGTGATTTGCATAATTATTTAATTGTTAAAATGAAGCTGCTGTGGATTTTGGCGGTTTTATTTCAAAGCATTTGCTGTTCGTATTCACGTACGTTTCAAAATGGGGTCTATAGAGAAGACTGCGAGACGCTTCCTGTAGTGAAAAAAGTTCAAGAATATATACAAATTGACACTAGCAAGCCTGAAAATTACGGTGTGTACAGATTAAAAATATATTGCTTAATTGACTCAAATTTAAAAAAAACTATACAATAAATACCATCGCTAACTAAATTAACACTTACCGGTTTAATTCACTAAATATATTATTACTAATTAAATATGTGCCTACTTATGTACATAGCAAGTTCCTACAGCAAGTTCACATGTAGATAAATTTTATCTTAACATGTTCATATGTAATATGCAACTAAAGAACGAGTTAACTATACCCCCTGTATCTATTTATAAAATAATTATTTAGGTTTCATATAGTAAAACTGCTTTCTTTTTAAAAACCTCTACCTCCACTATACACTATGTAACAATCGGTAAAGTAAGTTTGTTTAAGTTTTATGGATCTGTATGTTTTATTTTAAAGTTTTGTATATTTTTATTTTTGTTTGTATTAATTTGTTTCGCCTACCTTGAACATCTAATTATCTCATTTATTTTCTCCAAACATTTTGGTTGCCTGGAAGAGATCGTTTGATAGTGATAAGGCCGCTCATTGCACTACATTCCGGAATATGAGTTTTATCTGATTTTTTGTGCAATAATAAATAAATACAGCTGGAACTGACGACCGACAATCGGATTCTTGTCGGATGTGTCATCGATTTTAAAAATCATATAAATAAGCTAATTGTCAACATAAAATACCTACAGATTTAGTAGTAGCATTTTGGAAGAGATTAGCAAGAGAAGCCAGCTTGCCAATAGAAGTGCACCGGCCAGCTGGTTTGCCAATATGTGTTTTAACATGGACTGGATCACAGCCGGAGTTGCCAAGCATTGTATTGAACACTCACTCAGATGTTGTACCTGCGTATGAGGTTGGTCGCCCAAATACTAAAACTTGTGTATGTTATTATAAGTAAGTCTTGTTTCCCTACAATATCGGCAAGTGGTTGATTAAGGGCTCATTGGTGTTATGGTAGCAATGTTATCTAAGAGGCGTGGGTTCGATTACCACCGGGTTCAATATTTTTCCTTAAGCAAACTTGTAATTCTTCAGAAACAAGTTGAACTTTGTAAAATCTGGATTTAGATGGATGGCATTAATATCGTTCGAAGTTCGATCACTGTCCACAAATGAAAAAGTAGTAAGGTGGTAAATAGCCAATTCCAACGTCAAAAATTGGTCAAAAACGCTTGATTAGATACCAAGTATGGTTGGTGTATTTTTTCTCCAGCTTCTTGTCTGTCCTCTGTGCCCTAGCGAACCAACTTATTTTTGCACATTGACCCTGGATAATAAAAATAGAGTAATAGGTTATTTCGTTTATTAACAAATAATTTGGAATTTATTACAAAATGTCTTCAATTCCGAGGACTAATGAGGTTAAATATAACTTTCCTTCGATGGTAACTTATAATAAGCCACTTTGTCGTAACCTAATCGGCGTGAACGTAAGGGATCTACGGTATTAAAAAAAACTTAACCCATTCGGAAATAATAACATACAGGATTTTTTTTAATGTAACGTCTTTAACGGTTTAAAACGACAAATATAAAAAATAAGTGAATTATTATTTAACTACGGCTCAATGTAACCGACGCTTAAATAATATATTTTAATTACCCGCACAATCTATAGACAGTAGGTACCTAAAATGTATCGCTACGCTTTAGGAATTTTTAAATTCAATTTGTTTTTTGAATATAAATCTAACCTTGAAATATGTCGATATTACCAATTCTAATTAGCTCCGAAAGTAACAATACAAGAATACTATGGCTTTTATGAAAATTGCATATTTCACACGCCTAGTTAGTATTATGTAAAAATATTTCTTTACCAACTAAATATAAAGACAAAAGCGATATTCAGATAGCGATATGGCAGACGTGCGGATGATTATCTTATGGCCCATTTGATGCGCTCATTTGTGTAATGGTAGCAATGTCGAAATTCCGTTTGGGTCACCGTATGGTATATAGCTGGGGCATTTACCCACAAACAGCTTGTCTGTCCTGTGATAAAACAACATGGTTAGTATTATACTTTAGCAACAAAGATACGTTTAAATAAAACACTTTAACGGTTTAAAACGCGATATATTAGTTAAACTTATTTGAAAATGATTTTTAACTTCGACCCGACGTTTCGGATGCTTTATAGCAGCCGTGGTCGCGGGGAGTCTCCCCGTGACTAACATATCGCGTATTATAATATAGTATTTTATTTAAATGTGTACTACTCGCGTAAACTATAGACAGTATTTAACTGAAATACGATTTCAGGATCTATGGCACTATCCACCATTTGGTGGTGTTATCGATAGAGATGGAAACCTCTACGGTCGAGGGGCACAGGACACGAAGGGTCTAGCTATTCAGCACTACGAGGCGATTCGAGAACTGCAACGGAACAACGTAACGCTCAAACGAACGGTTCATATAACTATTGTACCAGGTGATTTTTATACCAGGCTGAAGTCTTGTATCTTAGTATTTATCTATAACTATGTATGAGACTGCTAAAGGCAGAGTAATAACAAAAAACATGATTTTCAATAAGGAGGAAAGAAAAAGCGCAGTTAGTTTAGGCGAAAATGAATTTGTACTATTATTTGTGTAACAATTTTCGGTCACTGTGCTTTTCTAGATTAACATTTTTAGACTACGAAAATATAAATAACTCAAGTCATAAAATTGCAGTTAGGCTACTCTGCCTCTAGCGGCCTCATATAAAGTAACAGTGCCTGTTTTGGTTCAGTGATTGAGTGTTCCTCAAGATCTCGATTAGCTCTTGAGATTTGGAACTGTTGTGTAAAAAAAAAATATTACGTATAAGTAAAATTATTTAACTTCGTATAAATTTTGACAAAATAAAATCGAATCTCATTAAGTATGCTATTAACATTAATATGTTATTGCACATGATAGCACTATATAAAAAAAAAACTATGAGTAAAAAATTACGACTCGGGCAGGACTTGAACCGGCATCCGCAGTCTCGGTAGCTCAATTGGTTAGCAACATCACGGAACGCTGCGTATACCGGTCGAGTTTTAATAAGGTTTTTCTCAACAGACGAAGAAATGGGAGGATATCTCGGTATTAAAGAGTTCGTAATAACTGAGGCGTTTAAAAAACTGAACATCGGTTTTGCATTCGATGAAGGGATAAGCGCACCTGACAGCACTTATCTTGCCACGTACGTGGACAAACGACCATGGCGTAAGTATTTAGTTCCAAATGCTACATAAATTCTAGTTATATGCATATGTTTAGAAATTCTCTAAAGTAGTAGTAAGTTACTAAGTTGCAATCTTATCATCTAACTCACGCACATCCGAGGGTCAACCCTCAGAAAGAGACATTCCACGTTCACTTTAATAAATAACAACTTCTATATCACTTTGTTGAGAATTTCCACGCATAAGGCAACGCATAAAAACATTTATTCGTTACCTTATCTAAAACTAGCTGTGCCAGCGACTTCGTCCGCGAGAATCGTTATTTTCGGTATTCAAATTGGTTTGCAAACCCCGCCATCTTTATAAACTTAAGCTGTTAGTCACGACGTCATTTGCGTCTCTTCCCGTCGTTCTTGCAAGTTAATCTTAAAAGGTAGACATATAGCATTGCGATCTTTTTTTTAGATCATTAAAAGAGAAATCATTCCTTTACAATTTTTTTTTAGATATCTTGAACCGTTTTCGCAGCGTACGCATCTGAAACCCACAGAAATGAAAAATTTGCCCCGTTTTGGTTTCATTTGTTTAATCGTTTTCGCTGCTCACGCCACCCATATATTCCCATTTTTCCCAATGCTCCTTGGCTAGACATGGTCACAGCGCGATGTTTTAGCCTATAGCCTTCTTCGATAAAAGCTCTAATCAACACAAAAATAATTTTTCAATTCGAACCCGTAGTACCTGAGATTAGCGCGTTCAAACAAACAAACATACTCTTTAGCTTTATATATTAGTAATAGTTAAGAAAGGATATCATAGACATCTATAATAAGATATAAAGCTGAAGAGTTTGTTGTTTGTTTGTTTGAACGTGCTAATCTCAGTAAAGTAAGTAATGATTCGAATAAAAAAATATTTTCGTGTTTTTTAGAGCATTTGTCGAGGAGGGCTTTAGACTATAAAACATCACTATGCGACCATTTCTATCCAAGGAACATTGGGAAATGTGGAAAATGGGAATATTTGGATAGCGTGCGCAGCAAAAACGGTTAAAGACACCCAAAAAATTGTATTTATCTATCTTTTAAGATTAATTTGTAAAAATCGACTTGATCTGGCCGACGTCGGGTGTAACAACTGTAATTTATATACATAGATGAGGAGGAGTTTTACGAGAAAGAATTTGGATGCCCAAAGTAACTATTCAAAGCGGACGAAGTCCCTGGCACAGCTTGTACGTGTTCTAACTTAGAATCGCGATGGAAAAGTTCAAGTCATAATTAAATTCTTTTGCAGAGGTAAACATGACCTTTTATGGAAAAGGAGGGCATGGTTCGGAATTTAATAATAAGGGCGTTATTGAAAAGGTAATTTAATATTATAAAAGTAAATAGTCTTATTTTAAACGAAGTTTAAGTTTCTAGAGTTAAAAAACTTGTTAATTTTTTAAGACCATAGATTTAGTACTGCTTCTAAATATTTAGCGCAGTTCTTACTTGTCCTATAGAAAATTCATTACGTTTTTAATTGTTGTCTTTTCAGTTATCGCACTTACTTAATTCTATATCGCAATTCGAGGAAGAACAAAGACAATTAATGATAAGAAATAATAATTCAGATCTAGGATTATATACAACTATTAATGTCAATGGTATTAAGGTAAAAATTAATAATATATAGATATATTAATTTTTTATTAGATACTAGGTAAAAAATACCTAAGTAAAAAAGACTATACTGAAAAGTTTTTTAGTATAGTCCGTATTTTACGTGAGTTATACAATAAAACACCTTAAACGGTTTAAAAGACGAAATATATTAGTTAAATTATTTTTTATGTATTTTAACCATAACCAACGTTACTAAAATAATATATTTCGCGCTTTAAAACTACTTCTTCAATGCTTTTCCTTTGACTGTTTTGGAGGCGGAATAAAGTCTGCTGTAACGAAACTAGATTCACGTTTTAAACGGTTAAAATGTATTATTCAAATATAAATAGTGTCTGATTGTCGCGTGTATTCATTGATAACTTATTATTACATTTACAGACTGGAATTGCAACTAACATAATACCTAGTGTCATGAACGTAATTATTGATATAAGATTAGCAAGGGACGCGAATATTGATGATATGCAACACGTGGTAAGTAGATTATATAATGTGCACGTTAAATGTGTGTCACATGGTTTACAACACCGGGTCGTCAATTCAATTCCCGCGTTCCATATATACGCAATAAGGTCTATAGGTGGAAAAGCCGAAAATGCCGAAAAAGTCAATAGGGAATATGTTCTGTCTAGTCTATTAAGTTGGCACGTAATCTATGTTAAAGCTGAACAGTTTGTTTGTTGCAACGAGCTAATCTAAGGAACTACTGGTTTACATTGAAGAATTCTTGTGTTGGACAGACCATTTATCAAAGAAGGCTTTAATAAAGACATTTGAACAGAGAACATTTGAAAATAAAGGGAGAAAAATACTAATCTTTGAAGGCTTCCGGTACGTGCGCTGCGAAAACAGTTCAAGGAACCAAAAAATATGTATGATGAAATAGTTCTTCATTAACTGATCTAAATAAATATGCCTGATAGTACATGTCTATCTTTTTAGATTAAATCGCGGGAACGACAGATCTCAGGCGACGCCTTGTGTAACAGCTAAACCTAATAAAAAAGCTGAGTAGGTTATTGCAAAAATAAATTGTGGTGTCCAAAATAACTATTCTACGTGGACGAAGTAGCAGGCACAGCTAATATATAATAGTAATGTTGATAAGTAATAATATAATATAATTTACAACTATTAGCGTAATGATAAGGATGTTCTAGTTTACTTGCTTCTTGTGTATCTCTTAGTTTGCTTTGACCCAACGTTAGTAAAAAGCGATAATTTTGTTACTGTATAAGCACTCTTACACAGAAACGCTTAAAACGCTCTATCTTATCCTATCTCTATCTAATTAGTGTGGGGCAAAAAACGAACATATTTCTATGTCCGTTTCACAAAACGATTTTAAATACCAGCAAATAAGTACTATCTGTAGTTTACTCATTACACATTAAAAAACACTGTTTAACGGTTTGAAAAACGTTTTAATATTTTTTATAGCCGCGATGATTCGCTTTTCCTTTTCAGTCTGTGGATTTTCGAATATCACAAGTAGAGATGTTATATGGCTTCATCTTTCGTACCATTCTTCCATAAATGTACCATACATACTATTTTACTATTAGTATATTATTTTATTCAGACCGAGAGGCCTTGGGTTTCAATTCCGAGGTAGCATTAGATTGTCTCGATCTGGCAGGGCAGGTAGTCTGAACTACTGCCTGTAAAAGAACCGATCAGTGAAATGGACACAGCAATGTGTTCGCCCCATGCCCCATGCCCCATGGGGTAAACGCTAATTTACTGTATATTATATTCTATGCAGCTAGATCATTGGAAAAATATAACAGGCCCAGGAACAAATATGGATTTTATTCGGCATGATTTGGAAGCCTTCGCCACGCCTACAGATAACAGCAATCCTTACTGGGTCGCCATGCAAGATGCTGCTCGTGAAATGTAATTACTATATAGTAATATTACTACCCCCACTAACCCTATGTCAATCTCTATTTCTGAGAATCTCAATTCTTAATAAATGAACATCTCAATTCTTATTTATTTCACATATGAAATAGGCCTATTTTTACTGCAGGCCCCCACAATATTTCAATTTTACAGTAGTTCTTGTAATCTTATAAGTAACGGACTGAAAATCAGCGCTTAGCAGTCTTTAACACAGTTTAAAATGGTACTTTTTCATTCTTCTTATTGTAAGTTTTTTTTATTATATCAATACGTAAGTATTAAGTTGAAGTTACATTGCGCAAGAGGGACAAGTATAATGGATAGACGAAATTCGATGATGACGTGTAGGAGACAGTAGCTCAATTGGTTAGAGAAACAGCCGGATGCCGGTTCAATTTCTGCCTGTGTCGTATTTTTTGTCAATCCAAATAGATTTATGATTTTATTGTTATATTATTAATTTTAATGTCATGTTCAAGTGTTTGTATTAATAAAATAATCTATACAAATAAGTAAAATTGAAGTGTCTGTTTGTAACATTAAAATAACCGCTTTTTACTAAATGCATATGGATGTATACACGGTACACATACCAAAACAACATTAAATTTTTTTTGTCTGTCTGTTTGCTCCGGGCTAATCTATACTAATATTATAAATGCGAAAGTAACTCTGTCTGTCTGTCCCGCTTTAACTCCGATACTACAGAACTGATTTAAATGAAATTTGGTACACAGATATTTTAGAGCCTAAGAAAGGTCATAGAGTGCCAAAAAAGGGTTGATAGGGTTTAAAAAAGGGGATGAAAGTTGTTATGGAAATTCGTGGTTTTGAAATTAGAACAATGAAACTCTCTTCTTTGGCTTCTTGGGAATGGGAGTGGGAGTGGGAGTGAGTGTAGGAATGAGAGTAGGAGTGATGTGAGGTGAGAGTATTGCGGCAAAGTAGCACTTACAACATAGATTGGCTGCATTAAATGCGCCCTTACTTATAAACAGCCTAAATAATCAAAAATTCTACCCCATGTCACTATTCCACGCGAACGAATTTTGTTGGGTTTAAAGAAATATGCAAATTTTATTTATTAGACTTTAGCTAATTTATTATATTTCAATTGTTTTTATGTGTATGTTGTGTTTTATCTATAAATTTGGTACAAATAATATTCAAACTTTGCAGGAACATAACGATCAAACCGTTGATTTGCCCCGCGACGTCAGATATGATGGTGTTGCGTAAACTTGGTATCCCAGCGTTGGGCTTCACGCCCACCATCAACACAGCATCTCGTATGCACACTAACGATGAATTTCTGCATCTCGACACCTTCCTACATGGTATTCAAGTGATGGCTAATATTGTGAAGAAAGTGGGAATGGTGCCAGCATAGTCTTGTCCTAAATGGATTTCCAAGTATTAGTAGTTTTATATGTGTTTCTTATGATGAGTTAATAAAGGAATAATAACGTTTAAGTTATAATAGTTTTTAAATTACGGTAGGGAAGGCTGTTATATAACAATAGTTAATATGAGTTATCTAAATTTAGATGACATTTTTAAATAAAACACTTTAACGGTTTAAATCGCGATATATTAGTTAAACTTATTTTTAACTAATATATCGCGTTTTAGACCATTAAAGTGTTTTATTTAAATGTGTACTACTCGCGTAAACTATACCTAGACAGCGTTTGAGATGACATTTTAAAAATGTACAATGTAAGAGAGTAGTAACAAGATGCTCTATCGACCAATTTTGGCTTTGGATATTCGGACATCCACAGACTGAAAACGTAACGCGATTGAACGTCATTTGTGGACGGTGATTCATGAACTGAAAGTTTGATATTTTTGCCACCAATTTAATATCCAGATTTCCAGACGAAAACCTGTGTTTAGACAGATAATAGATTGATGAGAAACATGTTGAACTCTGTGGGGATCGCACCGTCTGTCGGGATCCGTTCATTATCAGCAATACATACCATTACACCCACGAGCTCGTCCAATTATAAGAATTATTTTAATATACAAAGAGTAAAGTAATTCCGGAAAATTAGCCTGGTGATGGAGTAAATGATGTATACTTTGCGCCCAAGTTGATTTAGATCGTTGAATCAACAGCCAGCACTCCGTGTAATGGGCGTCCTCCTTCCCGTACGTGCCGCAACATTTTTAAAAGGACTTTTTCGCGAGCCGCCTCTCTTTGTTTGCCAAGCGTCGTCGGATTTGAGAATAGTCACGCTTTTAGCGAACAAATGAATTCTGCGGAACAATTCGGATCCTCTGAGTAAACTGTTTAGCGTTGAAATTGAGGAAAAACGCTTCTTTCAGATGTAAGTAGGTGTAAAAATTTTGTTTAACTAGAAATAATAATAATCATAACCGTTTAAGATAAGACGCAATGAATAGAATATCAAAATTCTCATTATAATTTTCACATGTTCCTTGATTTATAGTATTTAAAGAATAAAAATAAAAATATTAAAACTAGAAAATAATATATGAATGAATTAGTTTTTAATCACCTGAAGGTTAAACAGTTATCGTGTAACGCGGGTAGTTTGAAAAACTTATTTGTCTGCCGTAGAAATTGCTTGGGACGTCTCAATTAATATTTGATTTTGATTTGTGATGCGAAGTAGACCGCTGGGGGCGGGTAGGCGCTAATTGAAATAAATTGTCATGGCGGGACATAAATCAAAGTGCCGCGGGCCACCAGCTAAGTGCCTGCTTCGCGCTGTAGCATTTCATGGAACTGTACTGCAATTTCGCTCGGTACTATATTTATCATTTCTAGCTGTTATAGACACTTTTATGATGCTGCTAGAAGCAGAGTGGCCTAATAGCAAAAACATGATTTTTAATGAGAAGGAAAATAAAAATGCGCAATTCAACTTAGGCGAAAATGAATTTGTACTATTATTTGTGTCAAAATTATTTTAACAATTTTCCGTCATTGCGATGTTGTAGATTAACATTAAGACTATGAAAATATAAATAACTCAAGTCATAAAATTGCAGTTAGCCAACTCTGCCTCTTGCGGCCTCATATACACTATATATGTAACTACCCGCACTTTTTTATGGCAGGATAACATTTATGGGATTAATCTGTTGGAAGAACAAATACTTTAGTATACAATTTAATTTTAATGTTGTTAGTAGTTTTGTGTCTGCGTTTTAAAAATGTCTCCTTAATACAAAATAAAAGTCGAATTCAATATGTCTGGAGAGTTTTTCAAATCAATTTTCCTATATCTTTTTTAAAATACGCATTTTGAAAGTTTATTTTAAAATTACTTTTTGCGTCCTAAGTCGTGTTACAGCCTTTCAAAAAGAAAAAAAAAATGCTTGAAGTGTACATCCAGCAACAGCTATAGTTCTGTGTATATGGATGACGCACTAAGAGACACCTCGAGACGAATTAATTGAGCCAAACACGGTGAACGGGGCGCGATTATGTCCGAAGTGCTCGTTTGTCACCGGTGCAGGTGTCTACCATCACACCGAGGGCTGGAGAAAGGCCTCAGTGAACATTGATGTAATTTATTTGGATAAGGTACGTATAAATCTTATGACAGAGGCAGACTGACGAGCATGGGCTTCGCTGGATTGCAGATGAAACACCCCAGCAATATAAGATCTGAATAAAATGCGTTGTCGACCTATATTCGCTTGATATATTCCAACGTGATTAAATATAACCTAAAACTAATGCGTGACTTTGACGGTATTGCGATATTTCTACCAGCCATTACTATCCAGGTTTTCCAGACGAAGTGTCGACTATGTTTCAGAAATATTATAAATTGATTAAGTTTAGACTCAGCGGGAACCGAACCTATGCCCCGTTGTTTATTTTTTAATATAATACATTTTACAATATTTTTTGTTATTCCTAGTCCTATTTCATGATCTGTAGGTAATGTGAAGCTACAAAAAATAACATAGAAAACATTTGTATTACCTCCTCCAAAATATTCGTAGAAAACTCACCTCCGAGAAGGGAAATGGAAGTAAACGATCACAAATTTTAGACGCACGATACTGAATGAGTTGTGCTTTTGTATGTGACAGTATATTCAACTGCCTTAAGAGGTTTTATAAGATTTCATCATTAACGCCCTATTATATCAAGCATAATTTAGGGGCTTGAATAAATTTCGCTTTACAATAAATTACAATAATTAAATTATTACAAAACTCGGTACATAATTTTCAGAATGACTAAGTGTACACATAAATAAAACGCGATATATATTAGTTCAACTTATTTGAAAACGATTTTTAACTACGGCCCGACGTTTCAAATGCTATGCAGTATATCGCATTTTAAACCGTTAAAGTGTTTTTTTTTAAACTTGAGTTTGGGTATACACATAAAAAAACATTTTTTTAAACGTATAATATTATTATCTGTGCATCTACTTGTCTAAATGTACTTATAATATACACTCTTAAGCATGGAGCTTTTACATTTTCACCAACAGATTAAGCATCTGTGCGGGAAATAACTTGTAAACAACTATTGCTATCTGTGTCAACATACAAGTGAATTATTTATAACTAAAATATATTGTACCGAAGTCACTTTTATGCAAAAGTAATAGGAACTAGTTTAAATCAAAAAGTACCAATTTCAACTGATTCAATTGCTTTACAAAACAATAGGAGGCCCAAAGAAACTTATTAAACACTCATCATTGCTGAGCAAATAGAGCTTAACCGGGTGTCGGCCGACAATAGTCCAGTCACGCGCACATTATTTGATGTGTTCAAGTGCTTATCACAGGGGCGACAGCGCCACCCCGACACCCTGGCTCATGTTATTTTTTCAAAAAGAGAACAATCGTAAACAATCACGCATAACTGATTTGAAATTACTTTAAAATCAAGTGTTTTTTTAAACTCGTTCCATTTTTAAAAGTGTGAGAATTTCCCATGTTAGAGCTTAGTTGTTTAAATCACTAACAAGAGTGATTTAAACAATAAGTAATCATTCATTAAGAAAGGTACACAGTTATTAAAGATTCAGAGCACTTTGTAAAACAATAGTAACCTATTGTTACCATTGTTTTATAAAGTTTTAAACATTATTAAAAGTATTTGTAAGGATAGCAATTGAATTGCCCGTTTATTTATTTTCTGGTAAGAAAATTATAAAACATTAATACTAACGTATTTCTTGAGCCGATGTAAAACTATTACTAGTGTTTTATTAGTTTTTTAAATGAATTTCTGCATTCAAAATATCACATTTTATCATTGCTTTTTGCGTTTTTGAATCTATTTTTTCTGTTATAGCCCCAAATAAGGTTAAAGATACTTATATATAATTATATATTCTACCTTACTACGTATTTGTATTTTTATTTATAATCTATATTTTACTTTGATGGAATGGTCACTCAGCACTTGTTATTTTTTCTTAAATCTCCGCTTGTAAGTGCGCGTGGCAGTCACGTGTTGAAAATTAACAGGGCCATTTAGTTGGATTAAGTGGCCACTTACACAGCTAGAACTTTTAATCATTAAATAAAACAGACCTAACGTTGCACGCGTTAGTAAGAATAATTGGATTTAACAGTCCTAAACAATTGCTTCGGTTTAGTCGAACCTACAAGAAGTGATCATAGTCCTTTTTAAAAGGCCGGTAACGCAACAGACATCTGGTGTTCCAGGTGTCAGTTGTCCGTTAAGTAACGTGTAATAGGGGTACTATTACATTAAATATAAGTTCATCGTCTCCTGAACAACTATTTCAGATGATGGAACATTTAGCATTATAAATATCTATATTCATGCCATTAATATCACATTTATGATTTACAGTAGTTATAGTACAATTTGTTTTTGTGATCCCTGTATATAGACGAAGTGAATAGTAATCGATAGAGAATAAAGAAATTCAAAATAATAAAATGTAAAAAGATATAAGTAGAGTTATTGAGATTAGTGCAGCTTTATTATTAATACATACCACAAAAACTACAAGTGATAAAAACTTACGTACTAAAGTAGAAGTAGGTACAGGAGAAAAGAAATAATTAAAACAAAAATGGCTTATTATACGTAATACAGTCGCGATTATTTATACATATTAATACTTATTGTAAATTAAACAATTATTTAGATCGGTACGGGTGGGAGTAAACCAAACAAACGGGTGGGAGTAAAAAGATGAGATTTTTAAATTGCATAGGATGTTTAAAATATTAAGATTACATAAGATTTGCGTCTTATTTGAGTTGAGACATATATAAATGGTGTTAGGTGTCTAGTTCATAAATATCTAAACAGTCTTTTATCAATATTTTAGCCGCCCACAGATGAAAAAGCCGTCAAGTTAATCGCGCTTCGGCGTCAGTCTGTGGATTTCCGAATATCCAAACTCAACTACCTTCCATCAACTGAACCCTATGCTAGTCTACCTAAAACTCAAATAAAGCCTTACCTTGGTGCTAAGTCATTCGTTTTATTTGTGGTTAACAAAGGTCGTAAGCATTATAGCGTTCGTCGGATCATTTACGCTCGATCGGGTCGCGAACGTGTAGAACCGTGTTTCAGAATGATTTTGCGGTAAGAAACTGCTTTAGAAAGTGTAATATGCCCTAAGTCTATGTCACACGTGGCATTTTCGCTTCGTAGCTCGATTTCAATTCAAAAGCAACGTGGACCGCCCCCTATATAAAAGGCAAGCACCGATTGGTTGGGAACGACGCCCAGCCAATTAAAGCTCCCTTAACTCCCCCGGTTCTTACTTGACATTTTAATGTTTACAATGCAGATAGTTCAAGGAAAAATAACTACCCCCCACAACAAAAATTACGTTCATAGAATCACGCTTTAAAAAGCTTGAAAATAATTTGAAATTGGAACTTAACATTCCTTGCGAAGTTACAAAGTCTTTTAACAAAAGTAAAGCATGCTTACAAGAGAAATTATAATTTTAAAACATTCGATTCGAAAATTCTAGATCTTTTCGTCACACAACCTGAGAATTACGTTAGTGGAAAATGTTCGCAAACGCGAACACGTAATACGGTCACAATCGTCGACACCGATACCCTGACAATGTAGCCTGTGGACTGGGCCACAAGATGGGATCACAGCCCTCCTTTTCCCACTTCAGCCCCCCGACATATTTCGTCTCGCTCGAGGGGTGGGCCCGATGTAATCAGGGGATGATGTGACTCGCGATCTCCGCAGCGGCTTCAAAGATCACAATTATTGGAGCAGTCTGTCGAAAGCCGTGACTCGACGGTGAAGTCGTAAAAGTCAGATTCGCAAAAAACCCCCATTCATTGCAAATAAATAACGATAAATATAAAAATATTGTGTCGCTGTAATTCGTGTGTTAACTAATCTTCATTAAATATTTAAGAGAAATAAAACCGCCGAGTATGTGTATCGTTTAAACGGTAATTGTGAAGTTTGCTTAACTAAAAGTTAAGGGGCAAAAGTCGAGCTGTCGACCTTTTGGGAAAAACAGCGGACGCCGGTCGCGGCCTTCCGAAGGATGGGAACAGGTCAGTTGTTTCTAAAACTATCATTCAGATTATACATCCTAAGAAAACAAAGGTTTAAATACGCTGGCCTTATAACTATTATAATCATCTTTTCATATAGCTTACCATATTTATTCACGTAAAAACACTTCGAATTAATTAAACTGGGAAATCAATTTTATGTTTAGCGCTAATAAGAATTAGATACACCTCTTATTAGCGTATCTATAAGCGATGGTTGTTGGTTTTACAAAAGGTACTTTAGGAGGTGGTTAAATGGATAAAGTTAATTTACAAGATGAGATTAAAAGGGGAGTTAAAATGACATTTAAGTGAGTAGATATATCGCGAGTGGATTTTAATTAATAATTATCTACAATTTTGCCTATATTACTGTCTAAACTGATTTATTCACATTACATATTTGATATTAGAATAAAAACTTAAAACACACTACGTTATATCACACATCTCACACAACAAATTAAAAACGTAGGCAAATACTTACCTACTTTATTTTTTGTAAAGACTTCGTAAAACAGTAATTTTACAAATACTAAAGTAACATTAATATCTTACTTCTTATAAGTAACTATTTTCTCATCATTTTCAGCTTAATTTATTCTTTTATCTTTTAAGGTAAAAATATTAGCGATGTACGCTAATTCAATATTGGAGTGAATGTTTTTTGATATATTTCGAATTAAAGGATTACATTGAGGAAAATAAACTTATTACCTACTTGTATATTCAGGATACAATACTAGGTATTATAATCCAGGCAGGTACATACCAAAAACCAGTACTAAAATGGCTATTACACGCCAAATTAACACCTTTTCTTGTGTTCTTCAATAGGTTTTTTTTACTAAGCGTAAAGAATGTTTGATGCAAATACTGTCTGTGTGTGTACGCAAGTAGTACACATTTAAATAAAACACTTTAACGGTTTAAAACTCCAATTATTTTAGTTAAACTTGTTTCAAAATTATTTTTCTAGCCGTGTAGTCTCCCCGTGACCACGGCTGCTGCAAAGCGTCCGAAACGTCGGACAGTAGTTAAAAATAATTTTCAAACAAGTTTAACAAAAATATATCGCGTTTTAAACCGTTAAAGTGTTTTATTTAAAAACGTTTGATTTAGTTTCTTCTAAGTTAAATAAAATATTAATCCAGATTGCATATAAATACGTACATATCTACATTAGTCTATATAACTCTGATTTGGTATTAATATGTATTAACTTAAATATCTTAGATAATTCTAACGCGTCTCTGTAAATGTAACTTAAGGACGCAACGCGACGGTCCTGAAACTTTCGCCTCGCCCTTGTTAAAGGGATCTTGGGCAACCTTTATTTTATACAGGTTGTTTAGAAATTTAGTATTGTAACAAGAATCTTGTATCCAGTTTATGGGTGTAGACATCAAACACTTTTAAATGATATAAACGCGTTATGAATTAGTAATTCTCTACTACGTAGTTAAGAATTAACTATTAATTAACAAGAATAATTGCCGTTGAAGAGCTGTAAAAAAGAAAATCTAATAATTACCAAAATTAAGTTTGTTTTTTACATCTGCCTATTCATGGCAAAATAACTTTAAGTAGAGTATAAAGACCGAGAAGAGAATAATAAAACCATTTCTACTTTTAACATGTCTTGTTACTTATAATTCAACCTGTATAAACTATGATGCCAACAACATAGTCATTAGTCATAAGCCCACATCTCAGGAAGTTCGGTAAATCAACATAGACAATGCGTGTCTACATTGATATGCTTAGCTATATACAATTGTACAATCTGAAAGGCAGTGTTTCATAGACATTACTGCCAATTTTCATTCAATACAGACGTTAGTACTTGATTAATATTCATGTGTAGAACAATTTGGCTGCATATTGGAATTAATATATTTAAAAAAAACACTTATAATGTTTAAAACGTGAAATGTATTAGTTAACTTATTTATAATAATATATTTTATCTACGGGGCGATGCAGGACATTTTACAGGCTTTACGACAGCCATGGTCATGGGGGACTAGATAAAATATATTGTAAATTAGTTACTTAATACATTTCGTGCTTAAAACTGTGAAAAGTGTTGCATTTAAATGTGTTCTACTCACATGAACTAGAGACAATGCCTAATTCGTATATTTTGCATTCAGTACAGATTTTGTTTTTATTTATTTAAATATTTTGATTAGATGTTTAGTTCTGAAAATTAAACACATAAAATTTAAGTAAGACGGAAGAATAGATTTACTAAAAGTCAAAATTCATATTTGTGTATCCCAAATGGTTACCGTAAAATTATTAAACCCCGACGGCCGTAGCTGTCTGTGTCTTCGTCGCCTCCAACTATGTAGGTGATAATTAAGTAGGAAAAATAAAACGTATTGTTTGTTAACCTCGGGAGAGTCAAACTGACGACCATAGCGATCCGTGCTCTCGCTCCACGAATTCATCAACGAATCATCATCATTTATAAAATTTGACACCGTTACTTTCTATAGAGTAAGATGGTACATATATTTATTACAATCGGTTTTCAAAATTGAACTATATTTTCCTCGCTGTTTGAAAGTGTAAGATGATTTTCGAGCTATTAATTTTCGGTTAAGTTCTTAAATGTAAATTTATCGTAAAATGTGACCTTCAATATAACATATCCAAAAAACTATTTGAATGCTGTTTCTTATAGGATTTTTTTACCCCATAGCAAACTACTTTCAAAGAGGATATTTTTAAACAAAAGTAATTTTGCAGACACAAACTAACAAGGTACCTCTACCTTCTTACTCTGAAATCTTAAAGGTAATACGCAGTTTACTAAAAGATATCAAAATCCACTTTGATCCCGCACTGAGCGTTAGTCAAAGTGAAATTGATTCTATTTACTAGCAACGTGTGTTTTTTCACACGATTGTCACAATTTAGTCCAGATTAGGCAGAGTTCAATGCGCAGGGCGTCACGCACCAATGCACCGACACATACATTACAACCCCTCTCTACATATACATTTTAGATATAAATTAACACTTTGATCCTAGCAAAAGCGATTAAACGACATCTATAGGCGCCTGTCGTTACAAAATACAATTGATACAATCATTAACGTTTTATGAACGAAGATAACATATAAATAAAACATTTTAACGGTTGTAATACTCCCAGTCTCCCCGAGACCAAAGTGTTGAAATGTCGGGCCGTAGTTAAAATAATTCCCAAATAAGTTTAAGTAATTTATATCGCGTTTTATACCGTTACAGTGTTATTTAAATGAATACTACTCGCGTAAACTACAGACAGCAGAGGTGACACTGACTGGAAGATGAAATACCTGTCTCTAGTTTACGCGAGTAGTACACATTTAAATAAAACACTTTAACGGTTTAAAACGCGATATATTACTTATTTGAAAATGATTTTTAACTTCGGCCTGACGTTTCGGATGCTTTGAGCAGCGTGGTCACGGGGAGACAGGTGTTAAACGTCGGGCCGAAGTTAAAAATATTTTCAAATAAGTTAATAATATATCGCGTTTTAAACGTTAAAGTTTTTTATTTAAATGAAACACCTCTGTCGTACATTACATGCGCTGTTGACTTATATTGGTTTTGGACATTCGAAAATTGAGATATAATAGTGAGAGTTACAGCAGTGGACCTGTAACGATTCCAAACCCAAATTATTTCAATTGCAACCATACAGGCACTTTCATTTAATTGTTATAATTGCCATTTTAACACTGTAACGTTTAAAATCGAAAATAAATTGAAAAAAAAATTTTACTCCGGCAGGACGAACCGACATCGTCAGCGTTCCGTGCTGTTGCTCTCTCAGTTCAAATCCTGACCGAGTCGAAAATTTTGATTATTTTCGATTTTAAAATTATTAATAGTGTCTTCATGTGCAATAACATGTAAAAAATATTAAAGTTTTTAAATTGTAACGTTGTTGTAAGTATATCTATAGAATAATGTCTTCTGTTCTGTTCTTATCTACTATTTAATAGACATCCGTCAAATAAGATTTTTAAAAGTAACGCTGAAACTTCTTAATGTTGCCAATTTTCTCTAAATATTAAACACTTTACGGCTTTCCTCTGATGTCCAAAAGACGATCAGTTAAGGCGCTTAAGTCTTCTTCGTAAAAAACCCAAAAATATCGTGAAAGGAATACTTAGAAAGAGTTCTTAAAGAATTGACCCTTGCTCACACCGAACTAGAACATTACAGACAAATGTACTTAATATTTTTATGTATGGCTAATAATAAACAGGCTGAGGGTTCAATTCCAATCGGTTCCAAAATTTTACTAATAAATTTTTAATTTTTCTGAAATGTTGGACTTTAAAAATCCGGGTATCAAATTGGTGTTAGGAATATCGAAATTCCGTCCGTGTCACGAACCACTGCCCATAGATGAAAAAACCGTGAAGTTTAATCGCGTTTCGCTTTCTGTCTATGGATTTCCGAATATCCAAAGACAAAATAGGCGAAAGTGCAACTTGATTAGTTGTTATATGGCTGGAATATTTCACTTACCATCATAATATGAACCCCATGCCCCATGCCTCTGTCATATTTTTTATTTTAAAGAAGGCCGTATATCTAAAAATATATATTGCATTCATATTATCAATGATATAAGAATCGACGACTCTCTTTACTGTGTAACGTTATCCTAGATAGTATTTATTATTAGTAATTAGATTTCACATTGAATTTTTCCTTTTTTTACACTGGATGAATAAAAGCTTTGTAACACTGTAAAAAGTTCCTACGTTGCAAGACTGAGTAAAAGATTTTCAGAAAATGAAAGAAAAGGGGCAATTGAATAAGGAAAGGGGAAGGTTTCCGTAAACGCAACAAAAACACCTCGGTTATTAGCGAGATTGGTGTAATCTGTCTAATCCGTTTTGGGTAAGGGGGCGCTCAGTGGCATACTTAGAACCGTCAATTATTGAATAAACATTAACAATATACCAAGGAAATAAATAGCACCTGTAGTTTACGCCAGTAGTATACATTTAAATCACACTTTATCGTCTTCCCGTCTCCCCGTGACCACGGACAAAGCATCCGAAACGTCGGGCCGTAGTTAAAATAATTCAAATAAGTTTAACTAATATATATCACGTTTTAAGCCGTTAAAGTGTTTTATTTAAATACCAAAATGAAATTCATATAATTCAATGAAAACCTCTGTATAAGGTCATAAGGTGAAAAACCCAAATAATATTTACACAAGATTTTCGACATGTGGTACAGGTGATTCGTGAACTTGGACATGAATTTTCCGACAGAGTCCAATATGTTTCAGAAAAAATAGAAATTCATTGAAAACATGCTATAGCAGTCGGGATCAAACTCTAGAACCGTTGATTATTAGCTATTATTATACATGTTGCTATCATTACACCAACGAGTCGTTATCGTGTATTATATCATTATTTTACAGTGAAATTGAATCGTCAAATTCTATATTAATTATGTGTATTTTTTAGGAGATCGTCTTCTGGATATCCCATGCAATGTTTGTGGTGATAGGAGTTCCGGCAAACATTACGGAATATATAGCTGTGATGGTGAGTTTATAACTTAAGTTGTGAGACAAATTAAGTAGAAATCACTGTTAAATAATTCTCATAAGTTAAATCATTTGGTAAAATTTCTTTTTACTTCTAATTTTTATGATATTATTACTTTAAACGATATTTGTCATAAAAGTACATTAAACCATGCTATCATAGCATGATAGCTTTTCCTTTGATCTTTGACCGCCTCTGCGGCACAGTCGTTAGACACGTTAGTAGCGCGAAAGGGTTCAAAGTCCTGGGAAAAGATACTGGTTAACTAATCACGTGTAAACAAAATCGATCATTGAAACGGACACAGGAATATGTCCGCCTCTTGGCCGACTCATTAATATGATTTCTTTACTTTTACTTTCTGTCCAGGATGTTCTGGCTTCTTCAAGAGATCTATACACCGAAACCGCGTATACACTTGTAAGGCGGGCGGCGAGATGAAAGGGCGTTGTCCAGTCGACAAGACTCACAGAAACCAATGCCGTGCTTGCAGGCTCGCTAAATGCTTCCAAGCGAATATGAACAAAGACGGTAAGTGAATTTATAATTTATTTTTTCTTACTTGGCATTTTTTGGTAAACAAACAAACAATTTATATGAAGTCGTGATTTTCTTACAACATTAATTTACACTAAAAACACTCAGTCTGGATCATAAAAAACTAATGGACTACTTAGAAATCACTTATTACAAATCATAATTTCATGCTTGAAATAATTTACAAAAATGCACAGATATTTTTTTTTTGTTCGACATTTACATAGTGATGAGACGTGTTTGTATTAGTTGTGGTCTTTGCCAAGTTATAAAAACCACTCTATAGATAAACACAGTACTTTAATTGAATTTAAAAGTTTGACTGTTACTTTGTTTGGTTAAACAAGCCAGTGTTAACTATTCGACCGAAGTGAAAAGTTATTTTGGAAAGATTATAGTTAGGTTAGCATTGAAATAAGAATAGAAATCGGTAACCGATATGAAAATAATTGATATAATCATTTCCTTCGAAGATACGTTTGCTGTAATGAAAAAATATATGTGAGTGGAGAATAGCTTGATACAAAGTACACAATGGAATACAATATATTATAGATCACGTCACAGCGGGTTCCGTCCACTGACCACTGAAATATTGAATGAAAAGTGGCAACACAACGACCGGTTCAATTTTCATCGCGCCTCGTTCGATCCCACATTTGTCATTATGTCATTTCTAGGGAATATTTCACCTGTCATGGACTATTGTTTACTATTCTTATACTGTGTCACACTATTGACATTTCTGCATGTTATTATCGAAGTCTATGCTGATTTACCTCAGATAAAGAAATTATATATGTAATCTCTTTCACATTGCACATAAAACAATTACAATATGGATGGAATTCATTATAAATTAAACTATATTGAAAAGGTTTACTATATAAAGAAATAGATACCACTGGAAAAATGATATCTTGTAGATAAAATAATTTTTAATAAATTTAAATAATCAATTTCGCGTATAATATGTTAAACGTTTATTTAAAATAAATAAAATATACTTTATTCTCTTTAAAATTTTAAAAAATTATTTAGATATTTTTTTAATTCATATTACTGCCAGGCAATCTAAATTTATTACTTTTTAAAATTTATTTATTGATAAATTTGAAACCTCAACTGGCAATGTATTTATTATACATACGAATACAATTCTTCGCAAATGAATTAAATATTTTATGGAGCCAAATTTGTACTACTCGCATGAACAACAGACAGTACTTATGATACCTTCACAATATTAGGCTACGAGATTACGATACGTCGTCGATCACAATTATCATTACTAATTTAGTGGCGGTAGTATTAACTGCTGCCTACCCGCACTGGAGCATATAAATGTTCCAAGCTCTTAAGCCATGCTTCGATACCTATGCTCAGCTGTGAGGCATAAATAGGTTAAGTAACAGATATTCCTGAAATCTGTGATGTTTTACACCTTGAAGTAAGTAAATATAATTGATTTAATGAAATTTGGCCTTTCAAATACTTATGTAGATGACTTCAGATAAATCTTAATCTCTGTAATTAAGCAAAATTCTGAGAATAATTGAATATTCATGGCGGTTCATGTCAGAAGCAAGTCGGGTGCCGGGTCTCATACACACACGTAACAAAGCTTTTGCGTTTCTGAGTTACTTAGGAGATAGGGACGTCTTCACTTATAGTGGTCGCTAAAAATTGTTGTTCTTCGAAAAACTAATAAATCTTGTTGTTAAAATAAAACGACATTAGCTTAACACCAATAAGTAATCAATTAAAGCACATAATAGACACCGAAATTTTATATTTAATTTAGATTTGAAGAAAACATTTTTAACGGGTCAAAAAACAAAAACAGTATATTAGATAACTTAATTTTAGCTACGACGAAGCCAGATTTGGTTGCCCGAAAAAATCAATTGACTAATATTTTTTTGGATCTAAACCTGCTAAAACTTTGAGCAAATACTGTCTGTACTTTATGCGAGTAGTCGTGGTCACGGGGAGACCTGCATCTGAAAGTCGAGCCGACGTTAAAAATAATTTTCAAGCAGGTTTAACTAAAATATATCGCGTTTTAAACCGTTAAAGTGTTTTATTTGATTATTAACTTTGAGCAATAAATTATAAATACCATAAAACTAAATCGTATCGTCTCATCATATCGTAATTTCCTAATCAGAAATTGTATATTTCTCGATCATGTATTTCCAATCTGAAAGAACAGCAAGGGTTTATAAAGCTACATAATATCAAATACGCCCTAAATGTCTTCTATTTATATTAAGTTTTGACCACAGCAACCGCGCTGTGCTTTATTAATTACGAGTGTCGAAAATGCGGAGTTTTCGAGTGGCAACCCTGCCTGAAAAGTGGGGAAGTGCGGTCTCGCCGCAGGTGCTCCAGTTAAATTATTCACGAGCATCACTTTGTGCCGCCGCGGCCCGGATTACCTTTATATGTTTACTCGCTCGTAATTATACGCCCTCACGAAACTTAACCACCACAGCATTGACGAAGCAGCCTCTACCTATAATCCGTTGCCGTGTTACATAGGTGCCTGTTGAATAGATCAAGCGTCACTACAGACGAAATAATTACATATGTGTTCTTCTGTGTGATTGAACTAAGTAAAATCCACATAAGAACCTATTTCCAGATTATTTTCCAACAGAAGTGGTAATGCAAAGCGTCATGTCATGATCAAAAAAAAAATAACTACTATACTTAAATACTGTCTGTAGTTTACGCGAAAACACTTAAACGGTTTGGTAAACATTGTAATTATTTCAATTTATTTTAAAAATAATATTTTCTATCAACACGATAAATTAATTTTGGGTTTGTTAACTAATATTCGAAGTTAAATATTATTGAGTCATTCTATTCACTTGATATGAAATATTGAAATTATTATTTTGAGACATAATCGATAATATTATTAAAATCTTCACTCAACTCACTTAAATCACTCCAAAAGCATATCGCAAACATCGACTTCACGTTTCTTTACGCAAACAAACGAACGAAATCCCTAATTTAACTTTTGGGAATTAATTTCATGCTACGCGTTTCTGTAGCGCTATGAGGACGCTACGCGTTTTAGCTCGTAGCTTCCGTTGTTCGTAGCTTTATATTTTCAGGTATTCCATAGTAGGGTTATAATTTGATCAATATTTCATGAATGAATCAATAACATATAGAAATAAGTAACCGAATATTAATACGTGATCCCTACTTATTACATCTACTGTTTATGGGTGATTTTCTTGTATGGTGAAAGAAACATAGTAAGAGAAACAACACAAAATACTATTTCTACTGCAGTATAAACGTAAGCATGGAGAGAGATAAGTTAAGTAGTGATTAGTTCTTTATAATATAATAGGTAGCTTAAAAGACATAATTTCAACCTAGTCATGTCCCTATCTGGGTATGGATCTGATTTTTATGGTGAGAGATGTAAACCCACCACGCTTTTCCACAGAAGATTGGTAGGCTACCTCACTAAATAAGTGAAGAAGCCGTGACCTACGATTGGCCGTACATGGCCAGTTTTAATTCACATTATCTTTTACTTTATTCTAATAAGTATATCGTTACTAAACAATTGTTATTTTTTATTCAACAGTACGTTCACAGAAGGTCGTTACAATATTCCTGTAACACTGTCTAAAGTCCCGGCTTATAGCGTCCCAACTCGTCATTATAATTATTAATTAAAAGTATACAAGAAATAATGACGCTGATCACAAAGTCTTGTAATGAAAGCGAAGTGTCGCGAAGACGGTCTCGCCAGCCGTCGAGGGACGAACTTTTCAATTACAGCCATGTCGTGTAACCCCGCAGCGGGTTAAATTAATTCTCTCCACTTCACAAAAAGATTCGCCTTACCCCTCCACCACCCTTGCGAACCGACATCAGCCGGTCTGCCCTTTTTTTTTCCAATTTTCCCTGATATTTCCCGGCGCCCGCCCGTAACATACTGACGTTTCGCGATATTTATTTTTAATTTACCGGTTCGCACGCAAGATTCGGAATCCACGGCGGGTTACCTTTTAGTACGTTTTTCACAAAAGGTTGAAACAGCATTGGATTGAAATGTACGCTCGTTTTGCTTAGCTAACAGTGTGATTGTTAATTAAATAAATTTTGTTTAATCGAATCGCTTTGAATTACAATTTTGAGGATGACATTCCCTATTTTAATTTAATATGTATTTATTTTTGTAATTTTTTATAACAGAGGAGGTGATACGCGATTAAACTTGACAGCTTTTTTATCTGTGGATGGTGGTTCGTGACCCGGACGGAATTTCAATATTCCTACTAGTTACCATCTATTTAATAGTCAGATTTCCAGCCGAAATCCAACATATTTCACAAAAATTATAAAAATGTTTGATAGATCGCTACACACCACGAGATTTGTAGTATACGCGAGTAGTACACATAAAAACAACACTTTTAACCGCTTCAAACGCAAAATGTATTAATTTGTAAAGTACAAATTATTTTAACTACAGCCCGGCGTTTCGGATGTTTTACAGAATCCGTGAACACGGTAAGAACGTCGGGTTAAAAGAATATACTTGGCGTTTTAAACCGTTAAACGTGTTTTTTTTTCTTTTATAATCACAATAAGGATCCAGTCATTAGTTGAGTTTCATACCACGATTTAATATTAATCATAAACGCCCCTTAAATTTTATTGCCCATCAGTGTTGCGTGTTATCGGGAGCGTAACAAATTGAAAAGATCGTTGTTTCGGTGAGTTTAGGAGAGTAACACGTGTTCGACACCTACTGCGATGGTGACCACGAGGGGAGTGAAACATTATTATACTGTTATTGATAATTTAGTCATGCTTGTACTGCAAATAATCTGATGGCGTTGAATGTGAAGCCTCAACTTATGTGGTCGTCCATATAATATTCCTTAATAACCTTCACCTCTTAGTAAGAATATTTCTTGTTAGTAAGATTAGAGATAAGACTTTTTTGTTTCGTCGTAAT